GACATTTTCTAAACTTCATACTTTTGAAATATTTAGCTTTATTTTGAAAATCTTGCTCCATTCAAATGAATGGGAAAATCCTACTTCAGCATAGTTTCAGCTATCAAAATGTTCAGCTCTTCAAGGACATTCATGCTTCTCTTCAGGATTTTTCCAAACCTTATATCTTTGAAATATTTAGCTTTATTTTGAAAGTTTTGCCCCATTCAAATGAATGGGGAAATTCTACTTCAGCCTAATTTCAGCTATCACAATATTCAGCCCCTCTTGGATATTCATGCTTCTATTCAGAACTTTTCTAAATTTCATACTTTTGAAATATTTAGCTTTATTTTGAAAATCTTGCCCCATTCAAATGAATGGGGAAATTCTACTTCAGCATACTTTCAGGTATGAAAATGTTGAGCTCCTCAAGGACATTCATGCTTCTATTCTGAGTTTTTCTAAATTTCATACATTTATAATTAGCTTTATTCTGAAAATCTTGCCCCATTCAATTGAATGACAAGTTTCAACTTCAGCATACCTTTAGTTATTTCAGGTACCAAAATGTTCAGCTCCTCGAGGACATTCATGCTTCTATTCAGAATTTTTCTAAACTTCATACTTGTGGACAAGGACAATCACCTTTATTGGCCAAGTATGTTACACACAAGGAATTTGTTTCCGGTACAGAACTGATGGCAGCCATCTGCGGCGCCACCTCAACCAATGGCTCTAACCATCGGGGGCAATGGGGGGGTTCAGTGTCTTGCCTAAGGACACTTTGACACATGGACTGCAGGCACCGAGATTCGAACCTTCAACCTTCTGGTTGGGAGACAACTGCTCTACCCACCGCACCATTCAAATGAATGGGGAAATTCTACTTCAGCATACTTTCAGCTATTTCAGGTACCAAAATGTTCAGCTCTTCAAGGACATTCATGCTTCTCTTCAGGATTTTTCCAAACCTTATATCTTTGAAATATTTAGCTTTATTTGAAAGTTTTGCCCCAAATGAAGCGGCCAGCAAAACTGGCAACTTCCTCAAAACCACAGACACGCTCCTTCCTTTAAGGAAGCATCTGTCACACAGGAAAGGAGCTGTCTGGTTCAACATCCATACAAGGACATGGTTTTCACTGAAAATATTTTGACATAGAAGTTTGTCTAGTTTCACAAGCACCCAAATGACTATATTAAAAAAAAACTGCATAGCAACAATCAGTATGTTAATAAGACAGTATGTTAATGACGTTTCCATCACAGAGACACCCTTAAAGCATTATTAAAGCATAGGCAAAGAAGGACTGGAGCACTTCTGATAGAACAAAGTGGACTTCACAAAACCATTCCTGTAATTCTAAGGTGTTTGATTTGATTAGTTTTGTTTTGTCTATTTCCAGACACAGAGGTAGTGAGGCCATACACTCCAGTAGATCAGACTATGGCAACAGCCTCCCAGGACCCAGACCTCTACCTCATGATCAAGGTCTACCCTGATGGAGTATTCACCCAGCATCTCAACAACCTGCGCATTGGTAAGTCACAGCCAGGCTGCTACATAAGGTTTTGTGTATGTGCATAACATGGGAGGGTCATATGTACATAAAGTTATGGCCAAAAATATTGGCACCCGCATTTCTGTCAGATAACGCACCACTAGTCCTTGTTGCAATCACAGATTCTTTGGTATTTTCATGCTTATTTCTTTTGTTTACATTGGAGCAACATAAGAGAAGCCAAATCTGATGCATTTGACACAGAACTCCAAAAATATACTAAACAGAATTATTGACACCTTCTCAAATCATCAGAAATTGTTGTATTTCAAGCATTTGATGCTCCTTTGATTTGTAATGAAACTCACCTGTAGCAATCAGCAGGTGATGGCAACATAGAAATCACAATTGCAGCCAGTTAAAATGAAGAAATGTTGACTCAACCTTTTTGTCGTGTGGACCACACTGAGCATGGAGAGAAGAAAGAAGAGCAAAGAATTTTCTGAGGATTTGAGAAGCACAATAGTGGAAAAGCCTGGACAGTCTCAAGGCTCCAAGTCCATCTCCAGAGATCTGGCTGTTCCTGTGTCCACTGGGCACTGTATTGTCAAGAAGTTTACAGCTCATGGTATAATAGCTAATCGACTGGACATGGAGGAAAGAAAAAAATAGATGACAGATTGCAACCGAGGATTGTTCAAATGGTGGATAAAGAACCGCAATCAACTTCCAAACAAGTTCAAGCTGACCTGTAGGCACAGGGTGCAACAGTGTCAGCTTGGGCTATCCGTCACTATCAGATTCACAAGGGATGCTATGATAGCAGACCCACTGCTGACACAGAAACATAAAAAAGCCGGACAAGTTTGCCAAAACTTACCTGAAGAAGCCACAGTCCTTCTGGGAAAATGTCCTGTCGACAGATGAGACTATAATAGAGCTTTTTGATTGTGCACATCATTCTACTGTTTTCAGAAAATGACATGAGGCCTTCAAAGAAAAGAACACGGTCCCTACAGTCAAACATGGTGGAGGTTCACTGATGTGTTGGGGTTGCTTTGCTGGATGTCCTGACTGTGTGTGTGGCGTTATGAAATCTGAAGACCACCAGTGAATTCTGGGTCACAATGTAGGGCCCAGTGTCAGAAAGTTAGGTCTCTATCAGAGGTCACAGGTCTTACAGCAGGAAAATGACCCAAAGCAGACTGCAAAAAAGCACCAGAAATGGTTTCGGACAATGAGCTGGAGAGTTGTGAAGTGGCCAGCAATGAGTCCAGATCTAAATCCCATAGAACAGCTGTGGAGAGATCTCAGAACAGCAACTGGGAGAAGGAACCCTTCAAATCGGAGAGACCTGGAGCAGCTGGCAAAAGAAGAGTGGCACAAAACTCCAGTAGAGAGGTAGAAGAAACTCACTGATGGTTACAGGAAGTGATTGATTTCAGTTGCTTTGTTCAAGTTGAAGGAGTCAATAATTCTGTCCAGTCCATTTTTGGAGTTCTATGTGGAATCTGTCAGATTTGGCTTTTTTATGTTGTTCCAATGAAAACAAATAAAATAAACATAAGAATGCCAAAGACTTTGTGATATCAACAATTTTCTGGGAGAAGTGGTGCGTTATCTGACAGAAATGCAGGGGTGCCATCATTTTTGGCCATGACTGTATATAAAAGTGCAATATGGCACTGCACCTTCATATGTTTTCCCAGACAATTAGTGTCCAACTATTTCTGTAACTTTCCCTAACTGACAATCCAATATTTCAACCTGCTCTGATAATATGTATAATATTGTGTGATAAACCAGAGTAGGAACTTGCCACTCAGCTTTCTCTTTTCATTCTTTATGTAACTATACCTGTCAGTCATCATTTGAACAGCTACTGAGCTCAGTGGGCAATGACGTGATGTGTGATATGGTCATGAAATGAAATAATCTAATAATGTTGTATACTTAATGAGTTGTGAACACATTAAATGGGGCCAGTTAAACTCCATGTGAGAATAACTACTATTATATAACCTACTTATATTTTAATGCAATGGGAAACTTGATATGAGGAATTTAAAAAGAGTTGTAATTACACAAACTGTCAGACATTTAAGGAAATATTGCATGTACAATGCACCCAAATGCTAAGTCAAGGTTCATAGATTTTATTGTCAATTCACCATATGTGCAGGACATACAGAAAATCGAAATACCGTTTCTCTCTCACCTAGTACTGGATGCCATAAAATTTAGGAACTAAAACAGAATAAAAATAGAATAGAATAAGAACTGGATTGACGTAATTAGGATAAATCAAAACGGTACAGCCAATAAGCTGTGACTCAAAACTGTGTACAGTCAGTGACAGTAGAACAAACAATAATAGGAGATTGTCAGATGGTTCAGCATCACCAGGGCATTGGTGATGAGGTGCAAATAGCATATGAAGTATACATGGACAGTATTGCAAATAGCCAACAGCAGCAGATATCCCGGCAAAAAAAAAAACAGTCAGCAGCAGATTTACCTGTAATATAACAAAAAGGGGGAATGTATTGAGTTTGTGTAACAGCAGCTGTAATTTTTTTTTATTTTTTATTTTTTATATCTTTTTATGTTCTATGGTGGGTTACGGCCCAGGGGCAGAGCTGTGTCTCTACTCTCACCCCAATTAACTTCATGTCCTCTTTTAGCACATCCATATATCTCCTCATTGGCCTTCCTCTTGACCTCTTGCCTGGCAGCTCCATCTGCAACATCCTTCTACCAATATAACCACTATCCCTCCTCTGCACATGTTCAAACCATCTCAATCTGGCCTCTCTGACCCTGTCCCCAAAACAGCCGACCTGAGCTGTCCCACTGATGTGCTCATTCCTAATCCTGTCCATCCTGGTCCCTCCTAAAGAGAACCTCAACATCCTCATCTCTGCTACCTCCA